AAAAAAAAGAAATCTCAATAACCACCTCTCAAAACTTCCAGTCAATGTCTAAGACTCCTGAATATCAAACTTAAACTCCTGCTTTAACCCTTAGAATAAAAATGGCTAGACAAAAATCAAACTGAGCTCATCACCATTTTACTTAAGCTTCTAGCAAAAGGCCACACCAATGACTCCCCCAACTCCAAAATGGCAGGCTGTTACCTTACACCGTGAATTTAACAAACTTGAAATGCCAAGCAACTGCCTTGCTTTCCATTATTCTTTGTGTCTCGTATTTTAGATTTCCTTTCATCTCTACTGTCTCTACCATTGACACTATAGTTCATTACCAAATATGTGGATTATAAAACCCAGAACGATTTTGTTTTTCCCATATTTATCTTTTAATTCTTTCTTCATTTTTCCTCTAAAAAACCAAACCTTTCTACCTAGATTCCAAGATCATTTACAATATAACATCCTGTATCTCTAACTTTATATTTTTGTTGTTCTAAAAAAACCACTCCAGTTAATCTTTTCACTCATTGTCCTCAAACCAAGCTAAGTGAGTACTTATGTAAATAATTATAAAGCAAATGACTACTTGTGAAGTGAAATGAGTGACTTCATGGTGGTGGTGCAGTGTACCACTGAGCGGGAATCAACTCATAGCTGACCCTACAGTGAATTTTCAGAGGCAGTAAATCCCACAGAATGAGACTGCTTGTCTTCTTACTGTGGAGCACCTAGTGGATTCAAACTGCATACCTTTGTTTTGGCAGTGTAGTTCCTAATCACTATGCCACCAGAGCTCCCAACATCACGGTAGAGGATGGGAAACTCAAATCATCCCTGTAAATAACTCCAAAGAGTTATTACAGTGTTAAGATTAGCACCAGAAGAAAAAGAACTTGTGATGTCCTTTAGCTTATGACCTTGAAAAGCTAGGATTCAGGTTGTTTAATTTGTTAAATCAATCCCAATACTATACAGACCTACTTAATACTGTATCACACAACCT